GCTTGAACCCAAGAGTTGGAGGTTGCAGTAAGCTGAGATCACGCCACTGTACTCCAGCATGGGTGACAGAGTGAGACTCTCTGTCTCAAAAAAAAAAAGAGGAATGAATGAATGAAAGAAAAAGAGACCTCTTTGGGTCCAACCTGGGGTTTGGCTGCAGCTGTCCAGCTTCTCCTAACTGGTGATCAAGACACCTTGTAAATTGTAAACATAGAAATGAGTTAGAGACATGGTGGTTTCTCAAAGAGTTGAACATAGAATTGCCATGTGACCCAGTAATTTTGTCCTGGGTATGCCCCCCAAAATACTAAAAAGAATTGAAAACAATGTTCAAACAATAACTTGTATACCCACATTCATGGCCGCACCATTTATAGTAGCCAAAAGATTAGCTGGCCGCAGTGGTTCACGCCTATAATCCAAACACTTAAGCCAGGAGTTCAAGAGCAGCCTGGGCGACATGGTGGAACCCTGTCTCTACAAAAAATATATAAAAATTAGCTGAAAGTGGTGTGTGCCTGTGGTCCTAGCTACTCAGAAGGCTGAGGTGGGAAAATCACTTGAGCCCAGAAGGCGGAGGCTGCAGTGAGCCGAGATTGCACCACTGCACTTCAGCCTAGGGAACAGAGCCAGACCCTGTCTCAAAAAAAAAAAAAAAAAAAAAAAAAAAAAGCCAGATGTGGTGACACACACCTGTATCCCAGCTACTCAGGAGGCTGAGGCAGGAAGATTGCTTGAATCCAGGAGCTCAAGGCTACAGTGAGCTATGATCATGCCACTGAACTCTAGTCTGTGTGACAGAGCGAGATCCTGTCTCTAAAAAACAAGACACAAAGAGGGGAACAACAGACACTGGGACCTACTTGAGGGTGGAAGGTAGGAGGAGGGAGAGGATTAAAAAAAAATACCTGGCCGGGCCCGGTGGTTCACACCTGTAATCCCAGCACTTTGGGAGGCCAAGGCGGGCGGATCACCTGAGGTCAGGAGTTCGAGACCAGCCTGGCCAATATGGCGAAACCCTGTGTCTACTAAAAATACCAAAAATTAGCCGAGCATGGTGGCGCATGCCTGTAATCTCAGCTACTCAGGAGGCTGAGACAGGAGAATTGCTTGAACCTGGTAGGCTGAGGTTGCAGCGAGCCCACATCACGCCTTTGCACTCCACCCTGGGCAACAAGAGTGAAACTCTGTCTCAAAAAACAAAACAAAAGAAAACCTATCGCATACTATACTTATTACCTGAGTGACTAAATAATCTGTACACCAAACTTGAGATGAGCGGTTTACCTACATAACAAACTTGTATGTATACTCCTAAACCTAAAATAAGAGTTTAAAAAACCCCACAACAACAAAAAGGGAATAACCAAAAGATGTCCACATGTCCATCGATGAATGAATGGATAAACAAAATGTCATATATCTGCATTGCAATTATTCTGCCATAAAAAGGAATGAGGTGCTGACACATGCTACCATATGAATGAACTTTGAAAATAGTAGGCTAAGTGAAACAAAAGGCCACATATTATAAGGTTCCACTTATGTGAAATGTCCAGAATAGGCAAATCCATAAAACAGACAGCAGATGAGGTGAGGGAAGATGTGGGGAGACTGCTTAATGGTGCCGAGTTTCGTTTTGGGATGACGAAAATGTTTTTGGAAATAGATAGTGATGATGGTTGCAGAACATTGTGAATGTACTAAATGCCACTGAATTCTACACTGTAAAATCGTCACATGATGAATTTTATGTTATGTGAATTTTGCCACAATAAAACAAAAGAATTGGGGAAAAATAAATATATATTATATATTTATAATATATATACTATAATATTTATATTTATTTTATTTTATTTTATTTTATTTTATTTTATTTTTCCAAGACAGAGTCTTGCTCTGTCACCTAGAGCTAGGGTGCAGTGGCATGATCTCGGCTCACTGCAACCTCTGCCTTCCGGGTTCAAGCAATTCTCCTGCCTCAGCCTCCTGAGTAGCTGGGATTACAGGCGCTGCCACCATGCCCTGCTAATTTTTGTATTTTTAGTCTGCCTTCCAGGTTCAAGCAATTATCCTGCCTCAGCTTCCTGAGTAGCTGGGATTACAGGCGCTGCCACCATGGCCGGCTAATTTTTGTATTTTTAGTAGAGACAGGGTTTTACCATGTTGGCCAGACTGGTCTCGAACTCCTGACCTCGTTATTCGCCCAAAGTGCTGGGATTACAGGCATGAGCCACCGTGCCCAGCCAGAAAAATATTTTCTGTACAAAGTCATTGGCATTTAAGGTTGAAGTGCTCACAGTGTGCAACATTCAAAGAATGAAAGTGCCATTGTGTTTATTTCAAAATAATGCTGACAACTGAAATTCTTTGCAACAGAAGGAAATCTAGCAGTTGCTTCAAGTTACATTGTAATCATAATAATGATATTTTAATTTTCAGGTATATTGTTTTGTAACTTTAAAAAAATCCAAACTTTTTAAGGGAGTATAAAGTCTGCTAGTTAGAATTGAATCTGCTGGATGCTGTGTTTCCAACGGACCCAGATGTGAACTCATTGGAAGCATCTGTTTTGTTGCTAGCCCGTTAATCCATATGCAAATGGATTCAGATGCCCTGTGGAGCTGTGATAAAATAGTTGCAGCAGTTGATTAGTTGCAATGTTCGTTTCTTTCTGGAAACTCAGTTTAGTGTCAGTCTTGCAAGATAAATAATTAAAGGTGTGACTGAAAAGGAAATACATTTCCAAATAGCTTTTCTCCTCTTGTCACCCTAGAAAGAAACAAGCTCTTTCCAACAATACTGCCAGTCTTGAAATCTATTTCTAACTCTTCTGGAAAGATAGGCTTCTTATAGTTACAGTTTATTTTCAATTAAAAAAAAAAAAGGTCTTACTTTGTGCCAAATAACTTTGGGCTGTTTACAAAAATCAGAATCATCCACAAAGGACAAAAAATGTGTCACCCTCAGACATATTCAGAAGAATGTGCCAAAGGCTGTAGGAACAGTTCCAAAAGAGGAGTTAAAAAATTTTTTTTGATGGGAAATATAATTTAAATAAGTGTTTCCCCTGCCAAGGTGACTACTCACTACTCAGGATGGGACAACGACCATTTACATATGTTTATTTAAAAATCCGTCACATTACTTGATGGTTAAACCTTGTGTTAATCCAACCTTCTTATTAGAAAACTCTCTTTTGTTTCACCATCAGTACAAAATAGGTGGATTCTAACCCTTCCTTACAGACAAAACAGGCGTAGACTTTTCTTACTTTCCATAGGGAAAGGAAGGGAATTCCCAAGCCCTCCCAAAATACAAATCCCTTGCATTTGTGTCATGTTTTAAATGCCTCAAAGCACTTTGACCTACTTTATCTCATTCTCTACTCACAGTAACCTGACTAGGAACACCCAACATTAACCTCGCTCCCATTGAGCAAATGACTCTCTGAAAGCCTCATTCACTGTGGCCAGTTGCAGAGCTGGAACTGGAAGCTGCTTAGTCCAGTGGTTTTTTTTTTTTTTTTGGTAAGAGATAAGATCTCACTCTGTTGCCCAGGCTGCAGTGCAGTGGCACTATCATAGCTCACTGTAGCCTCGATCCTCCCACCTCAGCCTTCTAAGTAGCTAGGACTACAGCTGTGCCCTACCAGGCCTGGCAAATTTTTTTAGTTTTAGTATGTTGCCCTGGTTGATTTTGAACTCCTAGGCTCAAGTGATCCTCTTGCCTTGGCCTCCCGCAGTGCTGGGATTATAGACATGAATGACTGTACTCTGCCCCAATGTTCTTGACTTTCTCTGTTGTTGTTTTTTAAGAGACAGGCTCTCACTATGTTGTTCAGGCTGGTCTTGAACTCCTGGCCACAAGCGATCCCCCCACCTTGGCCTCCCAAAGTGCTGAGATTACAGGCATGAGCCACTATGCCTAGCCCTCCGTGCTCTTTTTGATGTACCAAAATTGCCGTAGTGCCCAGAATGCTCAACTGTATGAATTTCAAACCTGAGACAAGTAGCTAACTGGACTTAACCTCCAGGCACCATAGAGTTCAGTACTTTCTTTATTATTTTTTCAGCCTCTTTCAGGCTGACTGCCATCTTGAAGTTCCCCAGCTCAGATGGATCCTGGTAAGATGTTCTGTACTTTTAACTCAGGCTCTGGTTTGTAAAATATTCCAGGTGGCTGATGGAGAAATAAGAAAAGAAGAGCCAAACTTGTTTGTTTGTTTATTTGTATGATGCACAAGCCTCACACATTGTTCACTTACCATGAGGTAGATTTAAAAAGAAAACCGTGTGTGTGTGTGTGTGTGTGTGTGTGTGTGTGTGTGTAATGAAATTTGGTGTTGCCTTTACCAGAATAAGCCCCTCATGTGGAAAATTTTGTATGAAACTAGACATGTGGAATCAAATTGGTGGTGGTTTTGTTTGTTGTTGTTAATAACGGAAAACATGACTTTCATTATTGGTTTTATTTTTCTCAGCCTCCAAAAGAGACCTATGGGCTGCTGTTGACCAGCTGAGACCTCAGCTCCCCCAAAGTCAGAAGCTGGTACTGTCTTAAAGGCACACTGGCACTCACAAAATCCTTCCACCTTGCTCACTGCGTGAGATAGGTTTAAGGGCAATCTCTTTATGTAACACTAATCACAAGGCTTCGCCCGTAAATCTGAGATTCGGAAAAACTCAAAACATCGTGCTTACCCCCTCTCCTTTATTTTTACTTACAGCTTTTAAAGCAGAGGGATACGTTTTTAGTATTTTATTGCCTGTCAGTGCGCTGCCCCTTGCCAGAAACGGGTAACGATACTTTTAAATCATTTACATATTTATTTTTATGAGACAGAGTCTCACTCTGTCACCCAGACTAGAGTGCAATGGCACGATCATAGCTTACTGCAGCCTCCAACTCCTAGGCTCAAGGGGCCCTCCTACCTCAGCCTCCCAAGTTGCTGGGACCACAGGCCACCACATCCAACTAATTATTTTATTTTTTGTAGAGACAGGTTCTCACTTTGTTGTCCAGGCTGGTCTTGAGCTCCCGGCCTCAAATGATTCTCCCACCTCGGCCTCAAAAAGTGCTACGACTACAGAGGAGACCCACTGTGCCTGGCCTAAGGACGCTTGAACGTAAATTCTGTTTCTCCAGTGAAGTTCAAGTTGGCAGTCTCAATTCATTCCTCCACGTGAAGATCTTCTGCTCGCAACCCGGCAGTAGGTACCAGTTTTCTTTCCCTTGGAACACTGGATTAGCAAGCTTGGACCTGCCCCTTCCAGCAACCACACTTCTGGCTAGCTTGCTCTGCCTACAGGTAGCATCACATGTCATGACCTGTAGACCTGGCCTTTGCCTCAGTGCAGAATGCCAGGGCATGTCCGCTGGTTGAGTTTATCATTGAGCAGAAAGGGCTCACAGAGTGCTGAGATATAGTCCATGCAGCCTTTGTCAGACCATAACATGTGGCCTCCCAGTGCAAACAATATCATAAGTTTTCTTTAAACTCCTGTGTCAGCTGCTACAGAAAGGAAAGGCCTGCTCACGATAGGAGTCAGGGAAAGGTAGCAACTGCTGAGTCAGAATGACAGACTTAAAGGGCTTAGCAGATGAGGCACTATAGCTGAGGTCTCTCATTTACTTTATTTATTTAGAAACAGGGTCTTGCTCTGTCACCAGGCTGGAATGTAGTGGTGAGGTCACTGCTCACTGCAGCCTTGACCTCCTGGGCTCAAACGATCCTCCTTCCTCAGCCTCCCAAGTAGCTGTGACCACAGGCACGTGCCACCATGCTCTGCTAATTTTTAATTTTTTTGTAGGGATGGGGTCTCACTATGTTGCCCAGGCTGGTCTTGAACTCCTGGGCTCGAGCAGTTTGCCCACCTCAGTCTCCCAAAGTGCTGGGATTACAGGCGTGAACCACTGCAGCTGGCCCTCATATACTTTAGTTATTAGCTTTCTCCTGGTTGTGGAAAAGTTATGCCAGGCCCAAGGAGGAGAAGAGGAGAAAATAAAAACAAAGGAAGGTGCTGGGTGTGTGGCAAGCAATTGTGTATTTGTGATTGTTTCCCCTTTCTTTGCTAATAAGCAGAACTATAATAGGAAAAACTCCCTTAAGATAGTGAGATACTGGGTGTGGTGGCTTATGCCTGTAATTCTAGCATTTTGGGAGGACAGGGTGGGAGGATTGCTAGAACCCAGGAGTTTGAGACCAGCCTGGGCAACATGGCAAGATCCCATCTCTATATCAAATATATATATATGTGTGTATATATATATGTATAAACACACACACGTATGTGTACATATATATACATATATACACACATATATATACATATATACACACACACACACACACACACTTTTAAGATAGTGAGGGAGTTGACTTCTGTGGAAACCAGTATGGATCATAACAGATTTTTTTTTTTTTTTGAGGTGGAATCTCACTCTGTCACCCAGACTGGAGTGCAATGGTGCAATCTCGGTTCACTGCAACCTCCGCCTCCCGAGTTCAAGTTATTCTCCTGCCTCAGCTTCCTGAGTAGCTAAGATTATAGGCGCGCGCCACCATGCCTGGCTAATCTTTGTATTTTTAGTAGAGACGGGGTTTCACCATGTTGGTCAGGCTGGTCTCAAACTCCTGACCTCGTGATCCGCCCGCCTCGGCCTCCCAAAGCGCTGGGATTACAGGTTTGTGCCGCCGCGCCCGGCCCATATCAGATTGTTTGCTATTCTTTTGGTTTTCCAGAGAAGAATGCAGTACAGTGGGGAGAACCCCAGGGAGAACTCAGTTAATAGAAGAGAGCTTTGCCTTTCTTATCTGTAAACTGGGAGTTATACACACAGATTTATTGTAGGAGTAGATTACAGAACCCCCAGACTCAGTGTTTGTCCATAAATGGGAGGTTTAGTTTTAGATTTTTTGACGAAGGAACAACAAAATTTCTTTAAAAGCCCTTTGAAGGTTTAGCAATGTTGTTATTGTCAGAATGCTCTTGCTGTATCTTTACAAAGCTCTTCCTTCTGTGGTTTAAACATAGTCGCTCCCTTTCTCATGCTCAGGCTCACAGCCACAGGTGTGTCCCCAGACAGGATCCATTTCTGGTGGAAAGGGCCTGATGCAGCAATAAGAAAAAAAAAAACATGGCCAGGCACGGTGGCTCAAGCCTGTAATCCCAGCACTTTGGGAGGCCGAGACGGGCGGATCATGAGGTCAGGAGATCGAGACCATCCTGGCTAACACGTTGAAACCCCGTCTCTACTAAAAAAAAAAAAAAAAAACTAGCCAGGCGACGTGGCAGGCGCCTGTAGTCCCAGCTACTCGGGAGGCTGAGGCAGGAGAATGGCGTGAACCTGGGAGGCGGAGCTTGCAGTGAGCTGAGATCCGGCCACTGCACTCCAGCCTGGGTGAGAAAACCAGACTCCGTCTCAAAAAAAAAGAAAAAAAAAATGCCTATTTAGGGTTATATCCAGAATCTCAACTCTGAAGAGAGGAAGGATTTATTAATTCCTACGAGCCTAAGGAATTACTTCTTCAGCCAGAAAGCAGAGGTTCGAGTAGGGATGCTGGCACTGTACAGTAAGAGCAAGAGCTTTTATCTGAAGGGGCGGGGGGCTTGTGCAAAAGGGGGAAAAAAAAGGAGCGCATTTTATATTCTTTTTTTTTTTTTTTTTTTTTTGAGACGGAGTCTCACTCTGTTGCCCAGCCTGGAGTGTAGTGGCATGACCTCGGCTCACTGCAACCTCTGCCTCCCAGGTTCAAGCAATTCTCCTGCCTCAGCCTCCCTAGTAGCTAGGATCACAGGTGTGTGCCACCATGCCTGGCTAATTTTTTTGTATTTTTAGTAGAGACAGGGTTTCACCATGTTAGCCAGGCTGGTCTCGAACTTCTGACCTCAAATGATCTGCCCGCCTCAGCCTCCTGAAGTGTTGGGATTACAGGCATGAGCCACTGCACCCGGTCTGGGCTTTGTATTCTAATCTGGAAACTGGACATTATAATTTCAGAGGGTTTCGTAAGGGTTATATAAAAGAGCAGGCTATCCATGTTACCACATTTTCTTCTATCAAAGTGCTCATTGTCCAGTTGATGGACTGGTATCTATGCCATCAAGGTCAGGGGCAATGGGGGGGTGCCTCATGGGCATGAATGTGGATGAGTCAGCCTGCACACCCATGCTCTGTGCACTCCTTCACCCCCAGCAGCTGCCACTGGACAGCCCTCAGGCCTAGGATGGGCACATCAGTGTTGCAGTCCTCCCTCAGCACAGCCCTACACCCAGACCTTGGCCTGCTTGAATGAAGAGCCTTGGAGTTCCCCGTACCCAGGGTTTGGTCTGAGGGGAAGTACAGGCTCTGGTAAGTCCCTTGGCCTTGCTTCATGCGTAGGGGTAGCACCAGGTGAGGGCCAGAGCAGGATCCTCTAAAGCACAGGTGGGCAGGGGCCTGTGTTGCCTGGAGCTAAGAGTGGTACTGGCTGGGAAGACATAATGCAATAGCATCTAAATTGCCCCTGTTTGACAGGGGCTGAACTAGACCTCCAAGTTCCTAGACTCTGAAAGTGGATCCCAATGGGGATACTGAATGTTCAGCTGAAACACTGCCTTGAATGTATGCAGTAGCCAGAGTTTGGCAGGGGCTGTCTGTGCCCTTCCCGTGGGAGCCTGCTGAGGCTCCTGTGGTCACTCCCCTTCCCAAGGCTACCCAGGGCAAGAACCCAAAGGGCACTTTATAGAACAGCAGATATAAAATGCATTTTGGACTGTCCCTCAGTTATTCTGTCACCCTGGATTTCTGCTAAGGGAAGAGCGTTATCCTTAAGGAGTTAAACACACTTCAAGAGGAGGTGAGAGTTCTGCCCTGAGGCAGGGTGTGAAGCCCCTAAGCCCCTTCCTCCATGATTAATGAGCTAAGCGTAGGCATTCAGAAGAGTGGAAGGTGCAAGGTGCTCAGATGTATCAAGATTAACACCTACAGGCCGGGCGTGGGCGCGGTGGTTCATGCCTGTAATCCCAGCACTTTGGGAGGCTGAGGAGGGTGGATCATCCAAAGTCAAGAGTTCAAAACCAGCCTGGTCAACATGGTAAAACCCCATCTCTGCTAAAAATACAAAAATTAGCCGGGCGTGGTGGTGCGTGCTTGTAGTCCCAGCTACTTGGGAGGCTGAGGCAGGAGAATCGCTTGAACCTGGGAGGGGAGGTTGCAGAGAGCAGCCTGGGGAACAGAGCAAAGCTCCATCTCAAAAAAAAAGAAAAGAAAAAATTAACACCTACTGTCTTAGATGGTTTTCTAAGGATCACAGATCCACAGAGACTGGGGGCAAATTTGTTACAACAATTAAGGAATTGGGAAAAGGAGTGCTATTTAATTCCTCTTGGGGACAAACAGTCTTCACCCAATAGACTCACCAAGGACAGCAACATGAGTTCTGATGGAAAATCTAAACAAACTACATACTTAACAATTTTATGTCTTGTTTCCTAATAGATCTGACCCTCAATGGTCCTATTCTTAATTACTTAATCCTTGACATAAAAGACGGAACAAATAATGGTAGTGATCACTTTATCAATAGGCAGAAACTATGAAGTATTTCTACAACACCTTTCCCTCCATCCCTCAACCTAGTCTTCTCTTAAAATAACATTTTCCCTTTCCTTTCCTTTCCTTTCCTTCCTCCTTCCCACCCTCCCTTCCTCTCTCTTTTCTCTCTCTTCTTCTCCCCTCCCTCCCTCCCTCCCTTCCTTCCTTCCTTCCTTCCTTCCTTCCTTCCTTCCTTCCTTCCTTCTGTCCTTCTGCAGTGGCATGATCTTGGCTCACTGCAACCTCCACCTCCCGGGTTCAAGTGATTCTTTTGCCTCAGCCTCAGGGATTACAGGCACCCACCACCACGCCTGACTAATTTTTATATTTTTAGTAGAGATAGGGTTTCACCATGTTGGCCAGGCTGGTCAGAATAACAACATATTCTTAGGAAGTTTTTTTTTTTTTTTTTTGACAAATTACTATCTTGGTTAATTTTATGTCCATTTAGTGCCAGCCATTTTTCGAGTTTCACCAGCAGTGGTAGAAAACACACAAAGCTCTCCTTGTTTTTGGTTTCCAGTCCATCTTGCCCCCGTTCCCATCCTTTCCTTCCCACCGCACCCCCCCCAGCTCTTCCTTCCCTAGTCTCCTTTCCCAGGCTGCTCAAGGTACCTTGTGTCTGAGGTTCTATGGAAAGAAGTTCTATCCTCACTTCTTTCTATCACAGCTCTTGTTACCCTAGATTGTAATTGTCCCCTTCCTTGCCTACCACACCGGAATAGGGGTTCAAGTAAGGGACACAGCTAACTTATTCTGTATCTTCAGCACCTAGCATGACATATAATAAAGGCCCAATAGTGTTTTTTAAAATTTTTTACTTTTTTAGAGACTGCATTTCGTTCTGTCACCCAGGCTGGAGTGCAGCAGCACAATCACAGTTCACTGCAGCCTTGAACTCCTGGGCTCGAGTGATCCTCCTGCCTCAGCCTCTCAAGTAGCTGGAATTACAGTTGTGCACTATCATACCTGGCTAAGTTTTAAATTTTTTGTAGTGACAAGGTCTTGCTGTGTTGCCTAAGCTTGAGTGCAGTGGTATGATCACAGCCGGCTAGTTAAAATTTTTTTTTTTTTTAGACGGAGTCTCGCTCTGTTGCCCAGGCTGGAGTGCAGTGGCATGATCTGCAAGCTCCGCCTCCTGGGTTCACGCCATTCTCCTACCTCGGCCTCCCTAGTAGCTGGGGCTACAGGCAACTGCCACCACACCTGGCTAATTTTTTTTGTATGTTTGGTAGAGACTGGGTTTCACCGTCTCGTCCTAGCCAGGATGGTCTCGATTTCCTGACCTCATGATCCGCCCGCCTCAGCCTTCCAAAGTGCTGGGATTACAGGCATGAGCCACCGCACCTGGCTAAACATTTTCTTTAGAGATGGGATCTTGCTGTGTTGCCCAGGCTCATCTTGAACTCCTGGCCTCAAACAACTTACCTACCTCAGCCTTCCAAAGCACTGGAATTACAGACGTGAGCCACTACACCTGGCCAAGATGCAATAATTGAACATAATTTAAATGAGTATGCATCATCTCCAGGCAGCCACCCTTCTTCCTGCATTTCTGAGGGTTGGGAGCTGGATTCTCTGTCCACCAGAACTATAGGGAACTATGCAATGACTAGAAAAGAGACTTTTGGCTCATCTCTACTTGTTAGAACCAGAGTCCTGGGTCTTACTACACACTATGCTACCTAAAAATGAGTAAATAGGCCGGGTGCGGTGGCTCACTCCTGTAATCCTAGCACTTTGGAGGCCAAGGAGGGCAGATCACGAGATCAAGAGATCGAGACCATCCTGGCCAACATGGTGAAACCCTGTCTCTACTAAAAATACAAAAATTAGCTGGGCATGGTGGCGCATGCCTGTAGTCCCAGCTACTTGGGAGGCTGAGGCAGGAGAATTGCTTGAACCCAGGAGGCGGAGGTTGCAGTGAGCTGAGATCCTCTGAGATCTCACTGCACTCCAGCCTGGTGACAGAGCGAGACTCCATCTCAAAAAAGAAAAGGGTCGGGGGGTAAATAATACCACATTGTGGGCTATGAAGTGGATCTAATTAAGGATGTATGTATGTTGGGGTGGGGGTGGAAGATTGGGGCGCAACAGCATACAACAGACATCAGTCTCGTAGCCCGCTCACAGACAGGCGAGCGGGACAGTCACGTTTCCCTGTGTGGGCCAGGGTAAACCAGAACTTCAGCCATCAATATCAACAGCAGATACTTCATGGATGCCCTCCTATCAGATGTGAGGTGGGGTCAGAAAGAAGTCAGCAGGCATTTTTAAATCCCACCTCTGGCACCTCATGCATCTATCGGTTCCCGGTCATGACCCACCTAAGTTCTTTGAGCATCATTTACCTTATCTGAAAAATGGAGCTAATTATGCCCACACCTCAGGGTTGCTGAAAGGGTTAAGTATGATAACATATGTAAAGCATCTGGCAAAGTGCCTGTCCCATAACAGGAGTCCAGAAATAGTAGCCTTTGCTGCTAGGTAATGGAGATAAAAAATGGTAACAATGAGTTCATAATATACATACGAAGTTTTAAAAAACCAACACAAAGTTTGCATATGCTGAGTTTTAAAGAAGGTGTGCTGATCATTGCTTCAGGAATGCAGCGACCGGAGCACGGTTAATATAAATACAATGCGAGTTACTGTGTGGGCAACATGGCTGGGATCACCACCATCCAGGCGGTGAAGCGCAAGATTCAGGTTCTGCAGCAGCAGGCAGATGATGCAGAGGAGCGAGCTGAGCGCCTCCAGCGAGAAGTTGAGGGAGAAAGGCGTGCCCGGGATCAGGGAGAGGCTGAGGTGGTCTCCTTGAACCGTAGGATCCAGCTGGTTGAAGAGGAGCTGGACCATGCTCAGGAGCGCCTGGCCACTGCCTTGCAAAAGCTGGAAGAATTGGAAAAAGCTGCTGATGAGAGTGAGAGAGGTATGAAGGTTATTGAAAACCGGGCCTTAAAAGATGAAGAAAAGATGGAACTCCAGGAAATCCACCTCAAAGAAGCTAAGCACATTGCAGAAGAGGCAGATAGGAAGTATGAAGAGGTGGCCTATAAGTTACTGATCATTGAAGGAGACTTGGAATGCACAGAGGAATGAGCTGAGCTGGCAGAGTCCCGTTGCTGAGACATGGATGAGCAAATTAGACTGATGGACCAGAACCTGAAGTGTCTGAGTGCTGCTGAAGAAAAATACTCTCAAAAAGAAGACAAATATAAGGAAGAGATCAAGATTCTTAGTGATAAACTCAAGGAGGCAGAGACCTGTGCTGAGTTTGCAGAGAGATCGGTAGCCAAGCTATAAAAGACAATTGATGACTTGGAAGATAAACTGAAATGCACCAAAGAGGAACACCTCTGTACACAAAGGATGCTGGACCAGACTCTGCTTGACCTGAATGAGATGTAGAACACCCCAGTCCCACCCTGCTGCTGCTCCTCCCTCTGACCCAGACTCTGCCTGAGGCCAGCCTGCCCGAAGCTGCCCTTTAACTGAGGCCTGATCTTTAACTGGAAGGCTACTTTCTCCTTTTGCCTCCCCCTCCTTCCCTGTGTCTTTTTCGCCAAACTGTCTCTGCCTCTTCCTGGAGATTCCAGCTGGGCTGGAGGCTGAGCACCTTTGGAAACAACATTTAAGGGAATGTGAGCACAATGCATAATGTCTTTAAAAAGCAGGTGGTGATGTACACATTTTGTCATTACCTTTTTTGTGGTTTTGTAGCAACATTTGTAAAACATTCCAAATAATTCCACAGCCCTGAAGCAGCAATCGAATCCCTTTCTCACTTTTGGAAGGTGACTTTTCACCTTAGTGCATGCATATTCCCCTCTCCATAGAGGAGAGGAAAAGGTATAGGCCTGCCTTACTGAGAGCCAAGCAGAGCCGGGGGAGACTCCCCTGTGGGAAGCCTCATTGCTCTGTACAAAGTACTAGCCAAACCAGAAAGGTGATTCCGGGAGGAGTTAGTCAAACAACAACAAGGACAAAAAATGTGCTGTTCACGTTTTCAGCTTTAAGATATCGTTGGATAATGTTATTTCTATTTTTTATTTTTTTCATTAGAAGTGACTAAATTAAGATGGTAAGACCTCTGAGACCAAAATTTTGTCCCATCTTTACCCCCTCTCAACTGCCTACAGAATGGATCTTGTCTCCCTTATGTGGAGGTGACCACGTAATTGCTTTCCTGCCTCCTTGAAAGAAAGAGATTGTGTTTTTGCCACTGATTTAAACCATGTGAAACTCATTACCCTTTTCTGGGTTCGAAGCTGCTGTCTCTAGAAGTGCCATCTCATTGTGCTTTGTATCAGTCAGTGCTGGAGAAATCTTGAATAGCTTATGTACAAAACTTAAAATTTCATATTATTTTGAAACTTTGCTTCTTTGGGTTTGTGGCAGCCTGGCCACCCCATCTGGCTGTGACAGCCTTGGCAGTCCGTGGGCTGGCAGTTTGTTGATCTTTTAAAATTTCTTTCCCTACCCAGTCCCCATTTTCTAGTAAGGTTTCTAGGAGGTCTGTTGGGTGTACATCCTGCAGCTTATTGGCTTAAAATGTACTCTCCTTTCGTGTGGTCTCTTTGGGGTCAATTGGGAGAAAGAGAAATCAATAGTGGGACTGTTTTAATACTGAATATTGATAAGTGACTTTTTGAAATAAAGAACCAGTCCCTCCAAAATATATATACACACACATACACACACACACACACAATGCAAGCCCACCTAGATAATTTTAAATATTCTGGTAGCCACATTAGAAAGGTTAAAAGTCCAGGTGAGGTTTCTTAAAAATTAAAATTGTATAAATAAAAATATTAAAAGAAAGTGAAATTGATTTTGATAATATTTTATCAAGTCCAATATCTCTAAGGTATTATTTCAACATGTAATCAATATAAAGATCATTTAAGAGATACGAGACTAAGTCTTCAAAATCCAGTGTGTCTGGCCAGGCAAGGTGGCTCGTGCCTGTAATCCCAGCACTTTGGGAGGCTGAGGCAGGCAGAATACCTGAGATCAGGAGTTCGAGAGCAGCCTGGCCAACATGGTGAAACCCCATCCCTACTGAAAAATACAAAAATTGGTTGGTGCGTTCCTGTGGTCCCAACTACTCCAGAGGCTGACCCAGAAGAATCATTTGAACCTGGGAAGTGGAGGTTGCAGTGAGCCAAGGTCGCACCACTGCACTCCAGCCTAGGTGACGGAGTGAGACTTCATTTCAAAAAACTGAAAAAAAAAAAACAACAACAACCAAAAAAAACCAGTGTGTCTGGAGGAAGAATTGTTTCTGAAAAAATGAAAGGGAAAGAAAGAAAAGGAAAGAAAATCCAGTGTGTATGTTTTACATTTGCAGCAATCTGAGTTCAGATGTGAAATTTTCATCAGAGATACTTCATCTGTATTTGGATTTCATAAAATTTGCAGTAGAAAAAGTAGATTCACAAAACCAAGCTGCTCCAAATGTGGTCACACAATTTCTAGTCAGAGTTAAGGATCAGTCTTAAAGTTAATTAAAATTAAATAAAATAAATTCCAATTCGTGACACTAGCCACATTTCAAGTGTTCAGTAGTTACTTGGAACTAGCAGTTATTTCCTGGGCTAGTCCATGGCAAGTGGGCAGGAGCTTTGAATGATTGGATATGAGGAAAGGAGTAGGGAAAGGCAGGTGGAATAGCCAGAGAGCTGGCATGCAGCTGGCGTGAGCCTGGGACAATGTGGAAGCCAGTTTGATTATTGGACCAACAAGCTGAGGCTGATGAGTCAGGGTAGAGTCAAATCGGGAAGGGTTTGGACCTCAGGTTATGAGGTTAGCATTTTATTCTGTCGTTAAACAGTAACCACTTGAATATTTCTTTTTTCTCCTCTCTCTCTCTTTTTTTCTTTCTTTTTTTTTTTTAGCTAGAGATCTGTCACCCAGGCCGGAGGGCAGTGGTGCCATCTTGGCTCACTGCAACCTCTGCCTCCTGGGTTCAAGCGATTCTCCTGCCTCAGCTTCCCGAGTAGCTGGGATACAGGCATGTGCCACCACGCCTGGCTAATTTTTGTATTTTTAGTAGAGACAGGGTTTCCCCATGTTGGCCAGGCTAGTCTCAAACTCCTGACCTCAAGTGATCCGTCTGCCTCGGCCTCCCAAAGTGCTGGGATTACAGGCATGAGCCACCACGCCCAGCCAACTGGAATATTTCTGAGCAAGGGGCAGGCAATGTGAGCCCTGTTTTAGGTTAACTGTCTGGCACCAGTGCCTGTGAGGGGATGGAGAAAAAAGAGACACCATCCAGTGAGAGCAGGTTGGAGATGACTGCAGTGGTTCAGGTATGCGGTGAAAGCACCTGGCTAGCATGTGAGCCAATAGAACCATTCAGAGACTTTATAAAGCCATACTCCAAAGGACTTAGAAACCAGCCAGTCTGTTTAGAGATAGCTCTTTAGAGGAAAGAGCCAGAGAGGGCAGGAAGCTTGGGGCCTACGTGTCTGGGAGACTGGTGGACACTGAAAAGTTCAGCGAACCAGGGTGATTCTGTTGGTTAGGACATGACTCCCTAAGACAGATAACTGAACCCAGACCCTGGAATCTGTATTTTTTTTTAATGGGTTTTTAAAAAGTAAATGTAAAATGTGTGACACCCACCCCACCCTCTGAATCACAGTGACCCTGGACTTTGCCCTGAGTCTCTGAGTTTGTTGAGAAACACTCCTTTGTTCTAGGGAACTCTTTGAGGTGCTGGGTCCAAATGGCATTCGAATTAAAGACACTTCATACTCAGCAGTGAGGGGAAAAGGCTAGAAGGCAACCCCTGGGCTCTCTGGCTTGCTATTTCTTACCCTGACACCTTCCCTGGGAAATGCATTACTTCTAATGTGAATTTAGGTTTTGCTGTGCCTCATGGAAGAGGCTCTGCTGGGGAAATTGCTCCTCCCCTTCCCCTCAGCTTCCCTAATCTTCCACTCCCCTGAGTCTCGCAATGTCCAGTCACCGCGCGCAGACAGTCCAGGTCAAAAGCAAGCCTCTTGGGACTCAGGCTGCTGGCACTCAGCGACTGACCCATGGACTGCGCTTTCTGTTATGTGAAACAAGCCCAACACTGCCTTGTTCAGACATGTGAGGAGTGCCCGCCCTGGGTCGGGCACTGAGCTAGCTGCTGGGAGTAAGAGTTTATGGGGTGATCACAGTCAACCTGGGCGAGGCAAATGTGTCACCCAGCTCCTACAGTGCTAAGTGCTCTGTGCCATGATGGGGGCAGGGACAGCTGCCCAGGACTCTGGGAGTAAGAACCAGACTGGAGTTTGGCATGAGTTTCAAAAGAAGAGGAAGAGGCTGGGCATGGTGGCTTATGCCTGTAATCCCAGCACTTTGGGAGGCCGAGGCGGGTGGATCACCTGAGGTCAGGAGTTGGAGACCAGCCTGGCTAACATGGCAAAACCCCATCTCTATTAAAAATACAAAAATTAGCTGGGCATGGTGGCATGCACCTGTAGTCCCAGCTACTTGGGAGGCCGAGGATCCCTCGAACCTGGGAAGCAGCCGAGATGGGGCCATTGCATTCCCGCCTAGGCAACAGAGGGGAAGGAGGTCATTCTGGGCTGGGGAACCACGTGGGGTAGAGACACAGAGATGTGGAATAATAATGCAAAGATAATAAGATGATGATAGCGCTTGTTGTCTGCTGAGCTCTTGCTGCATGCTGGGCACCGTTCAAGGGCTTCTCATCTATTAGCCTTCTCATTGCTCAGATGGAAAAACTGAGCTCTGAGCAGTAAAATGCACTTGTCCAAGGTCATACTCAAAGAATGGTGCGCATTCAAACCCATAAAAGCCTGACTCATGTCCACTTCTTTAAGCAGCGCAGATCTGCAAACCACTGAGCGGCCTATTGGGAGCACCGGGGAACCCCACAGTGGTCTACAAAACATTAGGTTTTATTACGGTTTTGATGAGTGGACCAAAGTCATGAAGTGGGGGTGTCATGAGGTACTCTCTATTTCTCATTGGAATAAACTGGAAGAACTGAACTTGTAATTCTGTGCAAGACATGAAGGGGATACTTAAGGTATTGTCATGGCTCTGCCCAGCCTGCAGTATGGAGCCAGCAGTGTGCGGGCAGCCCCCGCCCCTCTCCCCCAGCCCCCAGCATGTTCCAGCAGCTTAGAGCCCCCTGGCTGGGTGGGTCTGGGCAGACGCTTCCTCCCGGAGCTGGCTGGGCACCGCTCCCAGACCCAGGCTTTTCTAGGTCAGGCAGTTCTATCTTCAGGCTGGCCCGAGGATACGGTTTGTGTAAACTGCAGACATCGCAGGCGTGCTGTGTAAACACAGACTATCTCCCACTGCAGCTTTTCCTTTGGGGAGGCTTCCCCTCCAGTTGGGATACTGGATTTCAACTTCTTATCAACTTGTACTTCCTATTCTGATATAAGGAAGCTATTAAAGTCCCTTTCCTGGTATTGCCTTGACCCCATCAGGACTTAACTTGTGTAGAAGCAAATGTCCTTTAGAGGAGAAGTTTTACACACACCACCCAGCAACCCCCCAACCCATCTCCACCCCCCACACACCCTCCAACAATCCCCCACACCCCCACCCATCCATCCCCACACCCCCCACCCCTTCACCCCCACATCCCCACCCCTCCACCCCTACAACTCCCACCCCTCCACCCCTACATCCCCCACCCCCCACCCCACCTCCACACCCCTCCACCCCACCCACCTCCACCCCCACCCTCCCCCACCCCCCCACCCCACCTCCCACCCCTCCACCTAACCCCACCCCCACCCCCCACCCACCCTCCACCCCCACATCCCCCACCCCTCCACCCCACCCTCCCACCCTCCACCCACATCCCCACCCCTCCACCCACACCCACCCTCCACCCCCACACCTCCCACCCCTCCACCCCACACCCCCCACCCCTCCACCCCCACACCTCCCACCATCCATTACCCAGCCTCAAATCCTCCAGTTTAAACAAACCTGCAGGAATTTGTTTTCAAAGCCTTAGGCCCTGAACATTTACTTTCTACTCCAGCTAGTTAAAATGTGTTTTCTTGGCTTTTTGGGCCCTCCTTGATGGGTCCACTGCTTCTTTCAGCTTCTTTCATCTTATTATATCTTTTTTTTTTTTTTTTTTTGAGACAGAGTCTTGCTCTGTCCGCTAGGCTGGAGTGCAGTGGCGAGATCTCAGCGCACTTCAACCTCCGCCTCCCGGGCTCAAATGATTCTCTTGCCTCAGCCTCCCAAGTAGCTGGAATTAACAGGAGTGTGCCGCCATGCCGGGCTAATTTTTTTTTCTTTTTTTTTTTTTTTAGTAGAGACAGGCTTTTACCACGTTAGCCAGGCTGGTCTCGAGCTCCTGACCTCAAGTGATCCGCCCATCTCAGCCTCCCAAAGTGCTGGTGTGAGCCAATGCTCCTGGCCTCATCTTCATTATTTATAAACTTTTTATTCTTTTCAATGTCAGTCTACTCTTCACCGCCCCTAAATCAGGCCCTGCTCGACTATTTTTAAACGTTTCCTCACATTTCCCTGCTTCCTTCTTGCCCTTCTGACTGTGAGTCCTGTCCTCCATCCTCCTTTCTTTCTGAGTTTTGCTGAAGGGAGGAATATGTAGAGAAAGAAATGAGGAAAGACATTCCCTCAAGATCTAGCTTATAGACCAGATAATAATCTGAAAATGACCTGAGCCCTCTAACTTTCATTTCTCTCCCTTTCATCTGAACTCCTGTGGAGCTCATGGTCTCTAGACACAATTCACTACTAGCAGTAGCCAGCCTCCAGGGTGGCCCCAATGTGACTTTATGCCTGGTGTTCATGCATACAGGTTTGGTGGCATG